GCTATTTAGGTAAATCACTAATACCCGGTAATTTGACAGGGTTTTCTGTTGTGGAATTGGTGGAAGGAATGGCAAACCTGGCTGTTCATCCTTTTAATAAACATCAGGTAAAATGGCAGATAGTCAATATCATGACATAATTTATTTCGACGTTAAAGCTGTCCTTACCGTTTGTGTTTATAATTTTGTCACCTAAATTAACGTCAGTTATCTTTTAATTTACCATCACATACCAAATAATAATGGTACTTTACTATTTTTACAGATAATAGACAACTCATTGCATTTGTTTTACACAATACTGGAGAGCAATATGAACGAGAACCTGACATGTTATGTGAGAAACGTTCTGGACAGATGGGGATTCAGTGACGTGGGATCCACTACTAATTCTGAACAATGGCAAAAAGAAAAAGAAATAGGCCTACAAATTAAAAGTATAATCCACTATCTGACTTCGTCAGAAGGAGCTGCCTTCTATTGTAGTAGGCCTAGATTGATAACTAGGATATATTGTTTTCAATGTGTCATCTGTGTGTGCGCTTGGAGTTTCATATATTATAATATAGGCCTGAAGTTTTCCTTACGAATATATAGTGCTAGGCATATATGTAATAGAATTTTACTGAGACTTACTTAGCTTCTTTTACACAGCTTCGATAGCTGTGAATGGTCTAAACCAGTATAGATTTACCAGCACAATGATTTTATTCGACCATGGAGGTAAAAAAATACATTACTGTAGCCGATTTTTGCAATACGTCTTCATATTATGTGAAACTGATCATCGGGACCCCTGATAATTTATAACTGACTCTTTTTATAAGGTTTAGTGTGTGGTATTCCATGTCAATTTTTTTTATTGATTTTAACAGGACTAATTAATATTATTAATGTTAGAAAATGACTAACAGTTAACATAACAAATTTATCGAGACTTTATTCTATACCAAATTTCAGGTGAACAACATAATGATGATGACGCAAAAAAATCTGCTAATAATATGCAAATGTTGGATAATCTTCAGTGCATTTTGTCGGAATGTGACAGTTTTGGTACTAATGACGTTATGGAAATTATCAGCGCAGTCAAACGTATCGTTTCAGACAAAACGAGTGGTAGACATACCCTCCTCAAACACATGGCAATGCATGAATGGCCAGGTACTGTATAATGATCATGCTTATAGGTAGGATTACACAACCTAGGCTTACCAGAGCTTATTCCAATGATGTGTTGGCTAAGACTATCATTTTGTCGAAATCTTGTAGATATAAATGAGGTTTTGGTGCAAACCTACGTAGTAAAAACAGTAGGTCTTGACCTATCCATAATTTTATACCTATCAAACTAGCTCATTTACTGTTATTAGGTCTACTTGTCCGTATTATTTCTGATGTGTGGAAACCAGTCAAGGAGGTGTACACCGATGAAGTATTGTGGTCGATCCTTACAGACACCATCGATACCATGATTACATACAGCGACGCTTGTGTTGAATGTGCAGATATTCTTATTGAACATGGAGCATTAGCAATGATGCAAGAAATTGCTGATGCGTATTATCAACATTTTAAACAAAAGGTAAGTTAATTTATTGGAGGAGAACAAATACCACATTTTATTACAAAAGAAAATGGTACTGAAGTTTGGGATTTTAACCCTCTATTTATTTAGCAGACATAATTATTACCATGTACATCGATATCTTTAATATTTTCAGCAGTATAGTAATATTAAAATATATTTTTAAAATATTTTCTAAATAGATCATTGCCCTCAATTATAAAGTAAGTGAATATAGAGGTGAAAATAGTGGAGAGTTAAGAGCAGATGATAACCGGCGTTCAAAGGACCCGACAAAAACCAATATACTAAGTGGACAGCCAGGAACAGACGAGTATCTGTCAAAGGACATGACAACACAAACCAATATACCAAGTGGCCAGCAAGGAGCAGACGGACATCAGTCAATGGGACAGACACAAGCCAATATACCAAAACAGCAAGGAGCAGACGTACATCAGTCAATGGGACCGACACACACCAATATACCAAGTGGCCAGCAAGGAGCAGACGGACATCAGTCAATGGGACCGACACAAACCAATATACCAAAACAGCAAGGAGCAGACGTACATCAGTCAATGGGACCGACACAAGCCAATATACCAAAACAGCAAGGAGCAGACGTACATCAGTCAATGGGACCGACACAAGCCAATATACCAAAACAGCAAGGAGCAGACGAACATCAGTCAATGGGACCGACACAAACCAATGTACCAAAACAGCAAGGAGCAGACGTACATCAGTCAATGGGACTAACACAAGCCAATATACCAAGTGGCCAGAAAGGAGCAGACGAACATCAGTCAATGGGACCGACACAAGCCAATATACCAAAACAGCAAGGAGCAGACGTACATCAGTCAATGGGACCGACACAAGCCAATATACCAAGTGGCCAGAAAGAAGCAGACGGACATCAGTCAGTGGGACTAACACAAGCCAACATACCAAGTGGCCAGCAAGGAGCAGACGTACATCAGTCAATGGGACCGACACAAGCCAACATACCAAGTGGCCAGCAAGGAGCAGACGATCGTCAGTCAATGGGATTGACACAAGCCAATATACCACGTGACAAACAAGGAGCAGACGAACGTCAGTCAATGGGACCTACACAAGCCAATATACCAAGTAAACAACAAGGGGCAGAAGGGCATCAGTCAGTGGACCTGACTCTAAACAATTCAGTGCAACTAGAAACATCAAAGTACAATGCCATCGATTGCAGTCATCGTGGCAAAACCGACCCTGACATAAACAATATATCAAGTTCAAAGACATCACAAGAAAGAGAAGTAATCCTAATAATTGAATAATTAATCACTAATTTTAAAATGTTTAACGTTTAAAGTTTGCATATGGTCAGTCTGACAAATATATCTATATATATTTTGTATATTTTATTCAATCATCAACCAACAGAGATAGAAACCTACACTAACAGTAGGCCTATATGACACAAATTCACAGCAACAAATTAAGGCGGAGAATGACTGCCGTATGCGTATCAGATTTTATTAATTTAAAATAAAATGCAATGACCTATGTATTATGCAATAACAATACCAACTGACATACTTGAACTGTAGGCCTTGTCTATTAAGGGGATAAAGGAATGGGTCTCCTAATGCTGTATGCTGTATGACAAGACCCCGAATTTAATATAAATATATATATATATATATATATATATATATATATATATATATCATTGTAAATCCACGTGTGTTCTTCAAATTATATATAAGTCTTTGAAACAAAAAATTATGACAACAAGGCATGTAGACTGTAGAACACTTCATTTATTTTCGAAAGAAATTTTCGGCCAGTCCTCTGGCCTTCATCAGCTTTACTGAATTGTACAAGTTGGCTGTTACAAGTTCTATACTGTACAATATAAACAATACAATAGAGGTGTAGACGGATTATAGGCCAATTATCTGATAGTTTATGCGGTAATATATAAAGAGAAATCCGACAGAGAATAAAGCGGTCAAATATAGAGATAGTGGTGTTATAGATTAAACAATTCTTAATTAAGCGTACATAGTAGAACAATATGGTGGGAAGCGGACTTAACTACACAATAATTAAATGATTATGAAGTCTTAAAGAACTAATACTCAATATTCTTTTACCTTTTATCGTCTATGATGGAACTGATGTAATAACGTCATTACTATCATCATTTTTATTACCATTAATTACAACATTCTTTTGCAATTTACCTAAAACTATGCTATACGCTACTATTTATTTGTTTTAGGTATGTGCATGTACAATGAATTTTCAAAAGAGATTTATTATGAAGGAAGTGGATTTGGTAAAGGAAGTGGATTCTGGTTTTTAAGGTGCGTGCCTTAATTACCTCCGCCAACGAAGTTGGCAGGATGTTATATCTTTTCCCCTGTTATTTATTTTTTTGTTTGTTTATTATTTATTTTTTTAAATTTTAAAATTTATTTTATTTATTTACTTATTTAATTATTTATTTTATTTAATTATTTATAATACTTATTTATTTTTATGTTTTTATATTTATTTATTTTTTATGTTTATTTACTTACTTCCTGACTTATTTTTGTTTTAATTTAATTATTTATTTATTTACAGGAGATTATGTTTTTGCCCCTGCTTATTTATTTATTTATTTGTCGGCATATTTGTTGTGAACAGTCAAACTTGGCCACAATGTTCCTTTACCTACGATCTAGAGCTGATTAAATTCTGAAGGGTCAGGGTCAAAGGTCAAGGTCACAATCAACGAAAAACTAAAAAAAAATTTTTTCTCATAGTATTAATCACAAACTTGTTAAACTTGGTCACAATATTCCATCATCAAAGATGTCAATGTATTTGACTGTTGAAGGGTAAGGGTTAAAGGTCAAGGTTACAATCATAAAAACCTGCTTTTTTGAAAAAAATCTTGTTCCTTTACCGAAAGATTTGGAAGTGACTAAATTTTGAAGGGTCATGGTCAAATGTCAAGGACACGATGATCGAAAAACAACTTAAACTAAGTATAGGCCTAACTGTCTGCCGTACCTTTCTATGTAGATCTAATGTACAGTTTATAAATCATTGCCTAAATTTTCTTTTGCATAGACCTTTGAATAAATTGGTAATCAATTTAACGATCTTTGTAATATGGTAATCATTTCTTTCTATCTATAATTGTTTCAATGGAAGTTGATAACTTATTTATTTATTTTATTTTATTCCTTCTGGCAATAACAAATAACAATCCCTATTAGCCATATATGTTTTAATTTAAATTTTTGATGGGATTTTATTGTTGTTGACAGGCGATACATCTTTTTATTGTCGAAACTTTTTTCCAATAAAAGATGTAAAACGCTTTCAATAATGCCTTTATATTCAGAGAAAATGATCTATGGAAAGATTTTACAATGATTGGTGGGGGTTATAAACTTAACCTACGCAGTATACGCGTTAATGATAGAGTGGGATTGGTTAGACATCCGGATGGGACTATAGGATTTCTGTACAACGGGCAGTACCAAGGAATTGCCTTCCGCAATGTTCCTGGAGGTAAGCTTTGACAATAGTATACATTCTCTATGGTAATAGTGAACAACAACATGTTAAAATCATACTGACTGAAGCTAATATATACAGTTGAATAAAGGTTATAGTTTTATGTATTTATATCGCACACCAGAAATTTATCTAAATGTAATTTACATCACCTTAGCTAGCACCAGTTGAGTCTCGATTATCATATGATCTTTTTTTAGAACACAATGTTGAACATAAAAACATTCTGTTTTTGTTTTCAATATGTTATTGTTAGCATGTTGTCAGTTACCAATATGTTTATTTAAAATGCTTTCTCTCTAGATAAAATTTAATCTGAAACCACTAATAACCATGCACATTGACGATAAACCACTAATAACCATGCACATTGACGATAAACCACTAATAAACATGCACATTGACGATATCAATTATTCAGAAACTGATTTTCATAATTTAGGTCTTTATGGATTAGTTGCTACAACCGGCAAATGTGTCCAAGTGTCAATAACCGAGAATGCTGGGCGTACCTTTGAACAAGAAACAGTAGCTGGTACACCTAATGCACCATTTGGTAAATCGATTAATCAGTTATTTGACTTACTGACCGATCAATCAGTCGGTCAATCAGTTTTTATTCTAAAACGCTGTATTTCAATATAATACATTTCTATTTGTGAAAACATTTAATAAATTTTAAACCTACTTAAGAAACATTAAATGTTAAATGTCTATATCAAGTACAGTTGTATTTTTTAGAATATATTGCATTGGAAAGGTTCATGAATAGCAATGACATGCATTGCAAACTAGGAAGGAAAATCTATAAAGAGAGGTTAAGTTTGTTGATGGCACATCTGAATGCATTAGGCTTAAAAGAAGGGGGAAATAAGAACTAGGTAGTTTGTTCCATAAAAAAGGTATGAATGAGGATGAGTGAAATAATACCATAGGGGTAAGTTTAAACTGAAAAAATATGGATGTTCAGGGCAGACCTCCTGGTCTGTCTGGCAGGAATATGATATGGAGAAGAATGGCCTTTAGTTTATTTGAACAATTGCAAAATAATGTATTTATTTATTACTGTATATGAATACAAAAATACATAAACGGTAGCACAAGGCTAAAATTGTCTGTAGTACAATAAAATTTCACATTATATACTATTAAAATTACAAAAAATACAATTAAAAAAGCAATTAATTTACTAAACACGATTGCACATTAAATAACTATTACAAAAAATTACAATTACAAAATAACTTCATTTACTATATACAAAATTAACAAAATACAATAAAATATGTTATTTACAATAATTATGCTATAAAAATAGATCTATATATATATATATATATATATATATATATTTCATTTGTGTTCCACGTGTGTTCCGACAGAATA